GTTCTTAACCATCGCGCCACTTGGCCGGCCCCAGAACCTATTGTTTGTTAAGGGCCAGGAATATGAAATGACAAGTTTATAAGATCTGTATCAGTGGACTTAGAAGGCTCTATATGAGACATCAAGTAAAAGTCTAAGAAATGCCATTTTTTTAAAAGGACTCAATGCCTTCTTCCTCTCCCTGTGTGTGAGAGACAGACAGAGAATGTGAAAAAAAGAACATGAAAGGGAAAGGGGTGATGCAAATGGAAAGAGAAGAAAAGGCACTAGCCCTCAACTCAAGACCCCATTCTGTACAACAATTTTCTGGAGGGGAAATGTGTGTGTATAAAACACAAAATGTGTGTGTGTGTATGCATATGTTTTTATAAAAGTGTACACATTGGTTACCTCATGCAGGGGAGGCTTTGCCTTTAATCTTTGCATTGTATTGTTTCACTTGCTGGAACAAGCATCTATTAGAATCTAAAAAAAAATTATACAAGACACCAACAAACTAATTCTGTTTATGTTACCCATTTACAATGGTATTTTCCTCTCATTTACCCCTCCCTATCCCTCTTAATTTGCTGCTGGAAGCACCATATCCCTTTGGCTACTCATCTGGCATCTGACATACCAACTGCATTCCACTTCATACATTTCCATAATACAAGCGTTTACTATTGGCACTTAAGAGTTTTCTGTCTTGGTTTTTCTGTCACTTCCCACCCCTGTTTTCTTTGCTGAAACTTTCTGACTATAAGTACATATACCTTCGGATTCCTTCTGCTGAGTCTTGGGCAATCCCAGGCTCAAGTTTGTGCAATTATGTTGTCTTTCTCCCAGTTTTCCATCCCAGCAACTGTTTCTTCTAGTGCCTGCAGGCTAGGACCATTATGATTCTAGAGCAGTGTTGTTCAACAAAGATGTAAACCTGTAAGTAATTTTAAATTTGCTAATAGCTGCATTAAAAAGGTAAAAATAGGTGAAATTAATCCTAATGTATTTTATTTAACCCAATATATCTAAAATATTTCAACATAATATTTTTAAAATAAGATATTTTACTTTTTTTTAATACAAAGTCTTTGAAATCTAGTTTGTATTGTATACCTATAACTCATCTCAATTTGGACTAGCCACATTTGAAGTGCTCAATAGCCACATGTGGCTAGTGGCTATGATATTGGACAACACAGTTCTAGAGGAACCCACACCTGCAGGCTTTTCATAACATTATAGTTTCATAATATTATAGTTCCTCCTCTGGATTATTGCCATTTCCAAATTCATTAAGACTTCAGATTGTAAAAGTGCTGTAAGTGTTTAAAAGAACACTATCATAAACTATTAACTCTCAGTCGTTATCTTTAGGCTGTTTCCAAAACTCAATTCCACCTTCAATAGCTAGATTTCCCATACAGGGAATTCAAGCAATAGGAGAATGTCGTAGTAGTAGTTGCTAGTCCGGGTTGGAATCTTGACAGCTATTTACTCCCTGCAGGCATTGGGCAAATTACATGATCTATGACTCAATTGCTTCATCTGTAAAATGGGGATATTTACAGTACCTACTTCATCGATCCTTATGAGGATTAAAAGTTAATACATATAAAGCACCTGGCATAGTGCCAGGTACATGGTTCAACACATGGTTAGCTATTGTTCCAGTAAACTTGTTGCAGGCTCTGAGGTAAGTCCCAAGATAATAAGAAATTCTCAGCGGCTAAATTACATCGTGGGTTGAGAACTACATCTCAGGCCATCTCCGAAGCAGGACCTATGAGCGGACAGACCAAGCCTAAACAAAAAATGCTCCACTCACCTTTCTCTTCCAGACTCCCTGGCAGGCTCTGTCTGGTCAAGGCTGAGACGCGAGGTAACTAAAGGAAATCTGAGGAGTCTTCCTAAGGCCAGGCCACGGAGACAACTTTTCTGACAGGGTGTGAGGGTGGCCCAGCTACCTGGGTACCTTCCCCGACGTGAGGTACGGGTTTTAAGCCTAGCACGCGTCCTGCCCTCCAGCCTGCGACTTTGGTGACGGGTCCGCCGCGAGAACGCTGGCCCAACTAGGGGTCGGTCGGGGCGGGGCCTGTGCTGGCACCGCCCACCGCCCGCCGGGCTCCATTACGGAGCGGACGCGCCGGCCTGACGCCCTGAGGCTCTGCAGCCAATCGGTAAGCGTTGAGCAGTTTTAAATAAAGACGACGGGTGAACAAGCAGTCAGTTCTTGGGTTTGCGGGGTGATCGTCCTGCGTTCTGTGTTAAAAATGTGGCGGGTGAAAAAACCGAATCTTAGCTTGTCGCCTTCTTCCCAACCGGTGAGCGGGAGAGCCTCATGGAGAGACTGCTGGGTTGACCCTGGGGTCGGGGTGAGGGGGCGGGGGGTGGCGTGTTTTGTTGATCCTGCCGCTTCCGCGCGACTGGAGTAGGAGTCTCGTATTTACCCGTGAGGTTCTTAGGGAGAGAGGAAGGGCAGGCTGGCAGAGCCCAGGCTTCCTCACACTTTCTGTTCTTTCTTTCTCAGGCAATACCAGCTATGAGAACTCCTCTCCGAGAACTTAACCTGCAGCCCGGTGCCCTCACCAGCTCTGGAAAAGGGCCCCAGTTATGCTCTTCGTTGACCCCATCACTGTGCAAACTGGGGCTGCAGGTGAGATTCGCCTGGCCAGCTTCTCGACTGGGCTCTTTGCCGAGGCGGAGAGCTCAGAGGAACAGAGGGCCAGAGCTGGAACGTAATTAATAACGATAATGAAGTCTTCTACCTTAGTGACATCCATTTACAGCTATTCAGGCCAACAGAGAGGTGCCCTAGGGTGGTTAAAGGAAATCCACTGAGAACCTGCACCTCAATTTAGCTGCTAGATTTTATCATCTCCTCCCCCGTTCAATCTACCGAACTACATAGAAATACTATCACTTTGATTAGTAGTCTCCTAACATGGGCTCACGTAGAGGTCAGACAGCTGCCA